TGGAATATCCAATAAAAAATTCACTACTTTGAATAATTTCAATCCCCCTTGCTTAAGAAAAATCAAATAAAATTATGCAAGGGTCCAACAAAAACATGTTATTGGGGAAACAAAAAAAAAGTTGGGGCCTATGGTTAAGAAAGGAATGTTTGGTAACCACCGGAACTTGTTTTTTTTGGGCCTGAAAAAAAAGGCAAGAAGAGGGAAAGAGGGAAAAAAAAGGGGGAAAGGGAAAAAAAAAATGTTGGAATTAAGAGAAGGGAGGTTGAATTTGAATAGAGGGGGGTGGTTATTGTGAAAGGGCCCTGTGTGGGAGTGTGTGTTGGTTTGTCCAGTTTATTGTTTTGTGTGTCCTTGTAACATGTGTGGTTGTGCGTGCGTTTGCGTGTTGATGTTTCTGGGGGTGTGGGGGGGTGTGTGTTTTTTTTAGTTTCTGTTCCACGAGGCGAGGGGAGAGAGGGGGGGGGGGGGCGCTCGTTGTGGTTCTCGTTGTGGCTCGTGTGTTTAGAAGGTTTTTTTTTCTGTCTTTCTCTTGGTTTTCTCGCCCTCACGGTTCAACTCAACGTTGTTGGGAGGGGCAGCGGGCGTGTTGGCAGTGCCATGTGTGGTTTGTGCGACGGGTATGGGGGAGGGTGGGTGATGGGTGGGGATTCCGTGCATTGGCTGGCCGCTTGGGCCTGAAGTTGGGGGGTGTGTGTGAGCGAGTGGGAGTTGGTGCCTGGGGTCAGCGCGTGGAGGTGGGCATGGCAGAGCGGATATGTGGGTTGCTGGGTATGGTAAGGTTGGAGGGATGGTTGGAGGGGTGAATGGAGGGATGAGTGAATGAGTGAATGAGTGAATGAATGTGTTTGCGCACAATGGATGCATTGTTGTCGGCTGAAGGCCCAGTTTATCGTGTACCGGTAGTAGTCATGGGATAGGTATAGTTATCTGCCGACAGGGAAGAGGGAAGATTCATGGTGCTGGACTGGATACGGGGGGTACCGGTATTACTGCTGAGCACCACGCATGCATCCCACAGCCAATACCCGAACCCTGACTCTCTCTCTCTCTCTCTCTCTCTCTCTCTCTCTCTCTGTGCTGTGACTCTTCTGTGACTCTGGCCGCGGGCGACCCCACACTTGGAGTGACTGCACACACTCCTCCCACTTGCCCACTAGAGCAGTAAACTTGCACCGCTCACTGCCCACTAGACTGCTTGCTGCTTGCTGCTTGCTGCCAGTTGCCCTCGCATGCAGCGCCTCCGTCGTACTATAGCTGATAGAGTACCTATACCAGCTTACCCAGCAGCCACACAGCACACACATACACCTATCCATTGCCTACAATAGCGCCTGCAGTCGGCTTGTCTCGCTGCGGAGCGCATGCGTTGCCTCCCACACCCCCTCCCCCACGCCCACGCCCGCGACGCCCATACATCACGCCGCAACGCCTCGTCGCCAGCAAACAACCGCCAGTGCCTCTCATCCCACCTGCACTGTGCTGTCCCTCACGAACCATCCCCCGCCCGCCTGTTTTGGAGGCCCAGACGGACGGGCGATCAGGCGCAACGCCGGGCGTCCATGGCCAGCCCCAGTCCGCTGGCACAGGACGAGCAGCAGCAGCAGCAGCAGCAAGAGCACTACGAATCTACCCACCCACATCCACCCTCTCTCTCTTCCCTCCTGTCCACCTCCCCCAACGCCATCGCTGCTGTCGTCACTCTCGCCACCCTCTCCGACAGCAGGCCGCCCACCAGCTTTGGGCAAGACCATGTGCATGTCATGGACGGGGACGGCGACGACGAAGACGACGACTACGACGGGGGCATCTCTCTCCTAGACATGCAGCACTTCATGGAGGAGGAGTCCATTGTGGGCATCTACACGACGCAAGAGAACGAGGCCGTCACTGCACCCATGCACGCAGTCATGACACAGCACAGTCCTTTTTGGCCCCATCTGACACCCCTCCCAACCTTGCCAGACCCAGCGCTCGACTTACTGGACGACGCCTCGATCCCATTCCATGTATCCAATATCCAAACGCCATTGCATCCGCCTTTCGTCTCCCAGCCCGTGAGCTCGGATTCGAGCCTGGAGCCACCGCCACTAATATACGATTTTACGGCCTGCGTCGTCGACAATGCCGCCTTTATGCCCATTACCTCCTTTTTCCACAGAGTCGCTCCCCAGCGACCGACAGTGCCTGGCCTAGACCTCCAGGACCTCCCACCCTCCATCACAAGGCACAATCTCCGAGGCGACAGTCTCGACTGCCAGGGAATTGACTGGACGGCACGAAATACGACCCGATCGGCTATGCGGGCGAAGCGAGTCGAGTATGAGACGGAGAGGCTGTCCTCGTTGGACAGGAACCTGCGAACAGTAAGATGATTGATTGCAGTCTCGAACATGACTTTCAAACTGACCTGTCCAAGTTGAACCCCCCCGTGCCTAACAAGGACAGCTTTTTCCACTTCAGGCGCAACAACCTTCTCCACCGCCCCTTTATCCCCCACTTCCAACTCCGCAATATAATTACCTCCACCTCGCGCAACGACATCTTCTACGTCATTGGCAAAAAAATCCTCCGTGCAGACGCCGACGGCACCTGTCCCGAACTCCTCACCGACCTGCACAAGCGCATTGGCTCGGAAAGCCTCGTCACCACCATCACTGCGCAAGACTCGACTCTGATCACGGGCGCTTTTGACGGAGAATACAGCATCACAGACCTATCTTCTGCCTACGGCTCTGCCCCCACCGTAGGCCGCATTTCTCACTTTAACAGTGTCGATAAATCGCGAATAGTAAACCATCTCCACCTCTTCTCCTCACGCTTCACGACCTCGCCCCAAGCCGTCTTTTGCTCCAACAACAAACGGCTCCAGATTCTGGATTGCACGACAAACACCTTTACCCACACCTTTGCCTTTGACGAATCGCCCAACTGCGCGGCCACGAGCCCAGACGGCCGATTGCGCGTGATCGTGGGCGACTTTACGGAAACGCTGATTACCAATGCGGAAACGGGACGGCCGTTTGAAGTCCTCAAGTCGCACCGCGACGCCGCCTTTGCCTGTGCATGGGCCGACGACGGTGTGCACGTTGCCACGGCAGCCCAAGACCACAACATTGTCATTTGGGATGCGAGGCACTGGGCGCGTCCCCTCAGTGTCCAGACGAGCGAACTCTCTATTCCACGCTCCCTCCGCTTCTCCCCCGTCGGCTCCGGTCCACGTGTCTTGGTTTGCGCCGAGGCAGACGACTATGTCGATGTGTTTAATGCGCAGACGTGGGCGTCGAAACAGACGTTTGACTTTTTCGGTCCGATTGGTGGCGTCAGCTTTACGCCGGATGGGCGCAGTTTGTTCGTGGCCAATACGGAGAGGCGGTTTGGAGGGATCATCGAGTTGGAGAGGAGTGGATGGGGGGAGGGAAAGAGGAGGAGAAGGGATAAGAGGGCGAGGGGGAGGGGGATGTGGGGTTTCAGGGGTCGGCAGCGTGACGACCATGACTTTGACGATGACCTTCATGATGATGACGACGACGACGACGATGGTGGAGAGGATGTTGTGACTGATTGGATCCCTGATTCTCAGCTTGAAGAATCTCAGCGCGTGGTCGAGGGCGTGGTGGGGAGGGAGAGACGGGGACTGGATTTTGAAGGGTTAGTGGTGTAAGGGGAGTACACTCTTGCACTTTTACCCTCTTTCTCTCGTCTCCCTCTCATACTCCCCCTCCCCTTCCCCCTCCTCTCTCTCGCAAGCATACAAGCGCACATATATATATACCCACGACGCATAACGCTCTATCACGCAACGCTACATCCGGACACGAACATGACGCATCACGCATCACGCATCACGCATTCTTTCCTTTACGGCCAACCCCACCATCACCGGCCGTGCATATCCACTATCTCTCTACACTATAATCCCTCCCTACCTCCAGGATACTTGGTCATGCGAATACAGGAGATGGGGCTTCTTGCTTCTCTTCTCTGTTCTTTTTCCTTTAACGCTTACGTTTACGCTTGTGCGCATTGTTGATGTCGATGTTGATGTGGATATCATACCCGCCACTTCTCTCTTTCACCCATTTTTCTTTTCTGTGTTCCCCTCTCGGGCTTTTTTTTTCTTTCCTGATTCTGGGCTTGGGGAAGGAGATACCATGGTGTGGCTTTTGGAATTTTTATTCTTTTTCGCCTCTGGGATTTTTTTGGGTTTTGAGGATTTGCATTGCTTTGGGTTTGCATTGGGTTTGCATTTTGCTTGGTGATTTACTGTGGTTTTTTTGGGTGTTGGGTGTTGGGTGTTGTGACTTGTAGTGCGTGCAGTTTTGCGGTTTCTAGGGTGTGAGATTGGGGGGACGGGGGTGGAGGTAGTTGGGGAGCGGAGGAGGGGATAATGAATGGCCTGTTTGGGTTTGCTGTAGGATGCTGGTAATGTGGAGTGGGGTGGTTGTTGATGTTGATGTGAGGTATATGATAAGCTATACAACAACCTACACTACCTCTACCTCTCTGTCATATCTACACCTCTACTCCACCACATCTCTCTCTTTTTCTCTCCCCTCACCAATACACCCCACATCTACATCCCCTCTCCCCTCTCCCCTCTCTAGTCCAAGGACTCCTAGCCGTACCATGTACACCTTAGACTCATGCCGTTATATACGCCTCTTGAACACTTCAAGGACACAGGACATATTCATGGTTTCTGTGTGAGTGCTGGAATTATGGTATAGAGATAGCAAGGGAGCAGGGGAGGCGCGCTTATGTTTTTTTTTCTGCTGGAGTGGGTGGGGGGAGGGGGGAGGGATAGGGTTGGATGGATCAGTGTTAGTAGCAGCGTTGCGAGAATGAACCTCTCTTCTCCTCTTTATTCTCTACAGCCTAGGTGGCTACTACAGATGTAGCACACTATACGGCGGCATATACAGCTTCTACTCCAATTTCAATTCCCACCTGATTTTACATCTAGTCCAATTTGCCGACTGATTTGCATCATGTTGTTTGCTGGTCTGTGTTGCATGCGTTTGTTGAGTTGTCTGTATAGACATTGCACGTAGGATCAGACTCTATTTACATCATTGCTGTAGCACGTTAGCGAAAGTTCCCCTTGTAGGGAAATATTAGCGTCACTCGGGAAGAGATGAGGATGGCATATCAGGATCTAAGAACCTTGTTGGGATATGCACACGCACACCCTTTTTAAAAAGCCACAAACTCTCCCAGTCTGCTTGATTTCACGGTGAATCCGACACACCGCAGTACCCCAGTGCAGTCCCAACCCTGGGAATACTCAATGTAACCGACTTTCTCAAATGCAAAGTCGCGAATATAAAGCCAATTTACTGCCGCCTCGGACCCGAGCAGTCTCCCCAATCAGCCTGAGCAACAGCAGAGCCAACGATATCCCAAACCCCCCAAAAATCCCACTTTGCCCTCCAGGCCCGCCTCCGAGGCCAACTTCTTAACCTGATCAACCCTCGTCGTGGCCCATCCCAACCCGTGCCCCTCCTGCGACACCTGATACATCAACACACGTACCGCCTTGACCCCAAGCTTCTGCAAAGCGGCCACCAACGCATGAATTTCGTCCTCGTGCGGCTGATCCAACACTGCAGCATCATCAGGTAGAACCGTGCACAGAAGGGATTAGCACAAGAGTTGCGTTTGCTCCCACGTCACTACATAAAAGCCACATGACCTGTGTGAGAGCTTCTTGAACCAATGAAAATAAATCAACAATATTCGAGTGAGAGGCAGTACGTTCGTAATCATTTTAGGGCATGATCTCTCGTGTGATTCATCTCATGATTTGAGAATCCACAAGGTATCTCTGGCAGCAAAGCAGATTCTCCTCTCTCTGTAACTAGAATTACTCCTCATCCTCCTCATCAGGCGCCTGCATGTCCTCAACGTCTTCCTCTTCAAAAGTGTGGGGAGGTACAGAGTACAGGCGAAGAAGAGACTTGTTGGGATCCTTGACCAACACGTACTTGCCCTCGTCCATGCGAAGTACCATGTCAACAATGGTACGGACAATAGCCCAACCGTTGTTGAGGTTCAGAGCCATCTGGGAGGCGAAGTCGCGCGGCTTGTTGGTTAGAACACCGAGAATAACATGGTCATTGTTGTTCTTGGGGTTGGCACGGGAAACGAAACTAAGATTTGGTTAGTACATGCAGAACATGTATTGCCAATATACATACCCAAGTTTCATGGTGTCGGCCTTAGCCAAGATACTCTGCACAGTCCATCGGGCGAGTTTGCAGGAGTTGTTCTTCATCTCGGTAGCCAAGACAGCACCCCTTTGGCTGGCCAACTTGGTCCTCCAGTCAAGAGCTCCACCGGCACCCTGTGCCTTGTTGTCGAATTCATTGAGAGCCTTGATAGTCAAGTACTGGTCCTCGCCGTTGATGTTGTTCTTGACAACCGCATCCAGCTCTGTTCGTACAATCAAGTGGAGTGGCTCCTCGTCCTTCTCCAGCGACAAATCGAAGCGGTGGTACCTGTAGGCCTTGGATGCAGGAGGATCGGTCTCGACTTCACTGTTGTAGAAGGGGTGCTCGTGTGGCATGTTGACCTTGTTCGTCTCTGACTCGGACACGACCTGCAGGGGGAAGACGTTATTGATGTGGGTGGCTTCAAGCATGAGGGCGCCTGGGCTGTTCATTGAGTCCTTGTTGCCCTCGGAGATCTCGAGGGGCGCATCTGCGGCGTTCTCGTTGACAGTGACCATGTCCAGAGCTGAACCATCGCGCTTGTCAATGAAGACCTTGTTGCCCCTCTTGGAGAAGACGAGATCCCAGGAGTAGACAGATTTTGTCGCGCACATGAGCATGGACAGAACACTGTCGGTAGCAAAGACTGTGGCCTCGTCCTTGTCGGCAAGTTCTTGGATAATTGGATCGCTGGAAGTGGTGACGTTGTAGGCGGCGCGGTCGAGTACGTTGAGCCTGCGCTCCGACGTCTTCGCACCAGGCTGCTTATCGTAGCTGCGGTCGTAGTAGTAGAGGAAACCATAGCTGTCCATGTCCTCGCCGTCGCCAGTGTCCAAATTCAGTTTAGCCAGACGAGAAAAGTCAATCTCCTCCATGACGTTCCACTCAGGCTTGACCTGAACAGACGCATCGCGATTGCGCTGTGGCTTGTCGTCCCTCCAGCCGAATCGTCGACCTCCCCGACCGCCGCGGCCCCCACCACGCTGGTTGTCGTAGCCCTGTTGTCCACCCCGGCCACCCACGCGCTGGAAAGTTCCCCGTCCGCCGCGCTGTGCTGGTCCACCACGCTGTCCGCGTCCACGGAACACTGTACCGCCTCCACGTCCGAATCCACGTCCTCTGCCT